CCCTATCTTCTTGGAGAGTACAATTCAACATAACTACTTTAGTTCACACAACACAGAAGCTACTACCCATCACCAGATGTTCTATGGAACAGACCAAATACCACGAGGCCCCCATAGCTGTCCTGGTCATACCTACAAGCGAGCAGAGCCAACACTTGAGGTGAAGCAGGGTGCCACCATGAGTTCTATTACAGGAAGGCGTCTGTACCGGGGGCAGTCTGCACACAGTGATGAGCTGTGGGGGACATCAAGGCATGCCCCTTATTGATACACACGCCCAGTCCTGCCAAGGAGTCACCAAACCATCTCCTTAGTCCGCCAGGTTGCACGCATGCCTTCCCATGGCCTTGGAGTCATCGAGGAAGATTTCTCACTCCTTTTTCTGATTCCACCATCCACATGCATCGTAGCATGGCCTGGCTCCAGCTTCCCTCCGTGCGTTCACTTCTCTGCCCTCCACCCCCTGCAAACTGAAAATAGTGATACACAGCCACCTCACAGGGCTGTTGGGCAATTTAATTAATGTTTATAAAGCACTCTGAGGTCTGCAGATGAAAACTGCTGTGTAAGTGCAAAATTATTATTAGTCCTCAGCCTCCTGTCCCCTGACTTCTGACATGGGCTTTTGTTGTTCTGAATGAGCACCGTTTATGGGCTGTCCAGCTGGCTCTTTTGGGGACATGGGCAAGTACATACACATTTGCAGAATTTTTTTTTCTCCTTTTGAAAAATGCATTCCAACTCTGTGGGATACCTCAAAGCTTTTCAATGTCTGGATTTCTCTCTACTTGTCTCTACTAAGTACTGTAATCTGCAAGAGTAGATTGTAAACAGGCTACTTTGGCAAAGACGGAGAGGGGGAAATGGTCAATTTGGAGAAATAGCCCCTCTGATAATGAAGAAAAAACAATATCCCCTTCTCATGCAGAATCTAAATGAACCACTAAGTGATCTCTGGCTGCCTTGCCCAGAGGGATACTGGATGTGTTTATGTATTGCAAGGAGAAAGGAATAGAGGATTTGCTTTTAGTGCCCAAGTTTTGCCTCCTTCCTTTATCCTAGCTTCTCAGGAACCATGGAAACAAATACACCAGGCCTAGATGGTGTTTTCCTGGCAGCCCTTTGTTGCCTAACTGTGTGCTGCCTGGAATCCCACGGGGAGAATGAAATAAAAGGTGGAAAAGAAAAGAGGCCTGTGTGCAAGTGGAATGCCTTGTCTCTGGAGGACAGAGCGGGCTGATATGTAATAATACATCACTGTGGCAACGCACAACGCCATACAGCACCACTTGCCTTTCCCTGTGATGTGTGCTTACGCATCCCATGTTACCCACACACACGCCAACACATTGTCCCGAAGGTGTCTCTTGACTTACCATCATTCTTTGTCAGGATGTTTGTTAGTCACCCAACTGCTGAAGATTTCATTTTTAAAGATCACTAAGCAATTATACAATGCCAAACCAGTTGGACAAAACTATAAAGGCTCAGAACCCAGGAAAGAACCAGTGTTGGTTATTTGGTTGTAAATATACAAACTAATAAGCCAAAAGAACTCAGGTACTGTCTGGCATGTTTCCTTAGTCAACTAATCACTGATGAGCTATAATACCAAAGCATATAAGAGGAAAACCAGGGATGTTCTTCCAGGACAGGCAAGTTGGGGTGTGAGTGAGAGAGAAGAGGAATACGATCAGCTAGAACCATGGAAAGTCTAAGACTATCGTAGTAACAGTCTCATTAGCTATGGTGACAGCTGGGTACCTTGGGGACATTTTCAGGGGCTTTGATTGATTAAGTTCTGCCTGTTGTGGAAAGGCAAAGATAGAAGGGAAAGGTCGCTTCTTTCCATTCTGCTATTTTTAAAAAGGAAAGGAGATCTTAATAAAGGGGAAAAAAGACGAACAACAATAACAGAAACATACGTATGGCAGCTAGGATTGTAAGAAACCCAGGACCCGAACATTGAACAGGTGAGGTGTGCAAACCACCTGGTTCCCATCCATCTGTCCTCTCCCCTTCACGCTCACTTCTCTGGACTGTCCAGTGTCCGACATGGCCTTCCTGCCTCCCATCTCCCCCACCTCCTTCATTTAGTCCTCCTCGATTTCCCGGTTATTCTCTCAAAATCGGATCTAAGGATCTGGCGGCCCAGGTCAGGCTCCTTCACACTCCCTGAGAACGTGCCCATCTTTGCTCACCGCCTCCTCCTGCTCCTCCATCAGTGCCCCCTTGCCTCCACTTCTCAAGCTCTGCTCAAGCTGCTTTCTACCTTCTCCCCTCGAAGACCGGGCCTCACCATTGCCACCATCAATTCCATCACTAGCTTGCTTAATTCCATCAAAGTCTTGCTTATCTTTCAAATCCCAGTAGGTGGAATCAGTTCTACAAAGCCTTATATGGTGTTCGCAGAAGAATCTGGACACTTCCACACTGTGTATTGTGCGTGTATGTGTTTGCACATGTGTGTCTCTACTCCCCAGTATATTAAGTAAAGCAAGTAACAGTGCTTAGAGCACTGATCTCATTCCTCTGTCCATTATAGTATAAGCTTCTTTTTAACGTTTGCAGACTATATCTTGTCTTGAATAAATTCCCAGCCAATACAGTACACTTCTGTTTAATTTCATCCATCAACTCTCTTTCTCTCTCTCTCTGTCACACACACACACACACACACACACACACACACACACACACAAATACAAAAGTGCATGTGGTAGATTTTTAATTTCTTATATAATTTTAAGGTGAAATAAGCACTTCGAGTCTTGAGAGGACAATAAATGGGAATACTAGGCTTTGAACTGACTGGTTGACAATCTGACCAATTAGTTACATCAAATTAAGCATCAAACTAAGTTTGATGCTAAATAAAATAATAATTATTTTATTATTTTAAAAGATTTAAAAATGAAATCTTCCAAATTTCCCCAGCTGTCACTACAGCTTATAAGACAGATAGGCGGGAACTTGTTGGTTCCTACACACTGGCTTTTCAATGTCCTCTGTAAATAATTGGTAGTTTAATAATCATGAGGAAAAAAATATAGGTGAAGTAAGCACCCAGTTCCTATGCTAAGACATTTGGGTCTTTGCCTGTTTTTACAAAGCTAAATTATAGAACTATTATCCAGTTAATGCAACCAGATGACACTGGCATTGAGGAGCCAGGGAAGCAGAGTGAAGGACCCTGAGCCTCCTGATGTTCCCTGTGCGACGAGGTGGACGCTCAGCCTCGCTTTGTTGCCTCAGTGTCCACAGCCACAATCCTGTGGGGCTGCAGGACTCGGCTCAGTCTGTTCTATGACTAAGGCTGCTAAGTATTACTAAGAACACAAAGAACTACAGGTCATCTACGGGAAGGATGTGATGCTGACCCCCATGTCTGTCTTCGTGTCCTGGGACGTCCCAGGGCAATGTAATTATAAATGCAGATCAGATTCCACAGACAGAGGAGATGCCTGGCAGCAGCTTTCCCTGATGGCAAGATATAGAATAAATCTGGTCTGTGAGAATCTACCTTGCTCTAAAATTTCTTGGTAGGACTCAAGTAGGAAAATCCATTCGTTCTTCTTCATAAATTCTGCCTTCCTTGCCTTTCGTATATCAAATACTTGGTAAGAATTGTTGAGTTGACCTGAAGGCAGTGTAAACCAACCAGCCTCCTTCTTGGTCTCTCTGATGCTCATGAAACACTTACCTCACCACATAGTCAAGGGCGAAAAGGGCACCTGCCATGTCAGTTTATTCCTTTTAATGAAATCATTCTGTTGAAGATTCATAGGCTCTGATATCATCTCCACATTCTTCCCTTCCTTCTTGTTCTGGTATTAACTTGTTACTTGCTAGGCCCTGGGCTCAGTTGTTCCACATATCATCTCATTTAATCTTCACAATATACTTACTGGGTAGATACTTGTCATGGTTTATGTCAGTGGCCCTCACGCAATTATGTGGTTGTGATTGGTTCATTGCCTAGGGCTTGGATTGGTGGTGTGAGTGCTACACCCACCTAGGGGTGGAGCCAGGATATAATGTAAGGACAGGAAGGTGTGTGTATGTCTCTCTCTCTCTTGCTGGTTTGAGGCTTGCTGTTTGCAGCTGCCATGAACTGCAGCCCCACCATCCCACCCTGCCTTGGAGCCAACTGAGTATGAACTGAAACCTCCAAGAACTATAAGAAATAAACCTTTCCTTCCCTAACTTTGGGCATCAGGTATTTTGACCCAGAGATGAGCAAACAGTAACTAAGACAATACTATTCCTGTTTAAAGATCTGTTAATTGAACTGTACAGAGTTAAGTCCCAGGCAAGGTAGTACAATTCTGGGTGGATAAGAGCTCAGTTCTTAATTATGCTAAATGATCTCTCCAAAACTTTTGGTAAAGTATTTGAGAATGCAGTTAGTTTTACTGAAAGGAAACCTACAGCTTTTTTTTTTTCATACCAGGCATCAAACTCACTAGCACTAGGCAGGCCAGCACTTAAGCCCCTGCGCTAAATCCCCAGTCCAAAACCTACAGCTTTTACAGACATTTTATGTGCATTGATCTTTGTAAAGAGCCATTCACTTATGATGCTTTTATGATTATTAAAATCACTTGTACAGATTATTCTCAACTTTAGTTAAGGGACCTATTTGAGAATCTTGAGCGAAATCCCATGAATCCCAGGTTCAAAGCCCCTGGGATTACACATTACCCATCTTTCTGAGACAGAAACGCTCCCTTCCCATGCCATCCCTGTGGCCTCGCACGTGGGGGAGCCGCCCGTGTGCTGACCCATGTGCAGTCTCAGGGTCCTGGAAGGGAGGGATGCTGCCGCCAGGCCAATCCACCACGTGTGCACTACTCCCCAGAGGAAGGGGCACCTGGGCCCACCTATCATCTCTCCAATTCATCTCAGACTCTGTTCTCCACCAGAACAGATCAGCATCCTTACACTCATCACAAAATCTCATGAGTAGCTATAAAAACAAAAAGCAAAAACACTTCCTATTCACATGCACACCTTTAATACCAGGAAATGATGACAAAGAGACAAAAAAGCACTAACTCAGCTCAGTATCCTGTTCACTGTCTATTATTGGTTTAGACAAAGGAATCCACGTGGAGGACTATGGGAGTATTCTCTTTGCGGCCTTCTTTGTTCTGAATGATGGAGAACACAAGAAATTCACCATGATAACAGCAAGGATAATGACCCAGTGGAGTGCTGAGTTTGTATAGTGCTTTATACCTTTTCGAAGCACGTTCACATACATTATTTTAATCAACACATACAACAGCCTCCCAGTTTACAACTGAGAATGAAGAAACCATAAAAAAAGTTTGTCCAGACTCATACAGCTAGGTAGTGGGGCACCTGGGGCTACAATCAGATGGCATGGTTGGTCTAGTATTTCCAACAGGTCAGCAATAATTCTCTGTCTTCTCTGTCCTATTGTTACTGTGTGAATTCTTCTCATTCTCCATCTGTATCTAGTTGCTTGTCAGCTAGCAATGCTATCTAACTAGATACAGATTTCAAAAGAGGACAAACACAAGTCCTTCTCTGACAAGTACACATAGATATAAAAATAAACGTGGCACTCTTCTTTATTGCTCCTTTGTGGGTGTCTTCCGCAGATGTAAAGGACCTGTTGGGGACCAGTCTACAGACCTTTCACTTCTATCTAAACATAATCCTTAGTAATAGCAGAACCTTCACACCAGGAAATTATTTGCCAAATATTTCTCACTGTCTTACGGCTTGGCCTGTCTTTCTCAGATGTAAGACATCTGGGCTGGTGCAACAAAACACAGCAAACTCAAAGAGATGTTTCCCAGATGTGGAAGAGGCCAGCTGTCCTCAGGAGTCAATCACATTGTGTCAATCACAATCACAATGCAGCTCTGGGCATTCCAATTTCCCAAGACCTTTTTCCAACTGCAACTGTCTATAGCTTTTATATGACTGAAAGAATGTCCAAGAGGTTGACCAGATAGCTGCATTAAATGCCAAATGGCAGCCATGGAGAAGTAGCAATGGCCCCATGCTATGTGATCATGTGATGGTTTTTAAGACCCCGCAAGCAGAAAGTGGGGTGGGCTCCACTTTCAAGAATTCTCAGTCAGGTGAAGGACCTCACAGGCAGGGCATCATCTTCAAGGTGGGGCTCATTCTTCTCTTGTCCAGGGTGGTATCTAGGTAACACCACGGAGCCCTTGACTTCACAAAAACAACAGAAATCCCGTTCACACCACTTCTGTCTTGTGAAGAGTCACTGGCCCCAAATGCTTATTCGGGGATGTGACTGGGATAAAAGCTCGTTCCATGCCAGGTTTAGAAAAATCTGGAAAAATACTCTGTAGTCTTGCAAATTTCTGAAAAAAAGTTGAAATAAAAGTCAAGATATGAATAACTGAGTAGATGCAGTAGTGGGCACCAGCTCCTTAAGAGATCATGGGGCCAGGCCGGGGATTTAGCTCAACGGCATAAGCACCTGCCTGGCAAGCGCGACATCATGAGTCCAATCTCCAGTCCAAAAAAAAGATCATGGGGCAAGTCCTTTGGGAAACCCCGGTTAAACAGCTCACTTCTCTCGTTCTACCAAACACTGGTGCTATTCCCCTGCCCTATCACCCTTCGGCCAGGAGATTCCTGATTAAGGACTGCAGTCACTACTGACTTCTGTGAGAGATCTGTATGGAAAGCTGGTGCCCGCGAAAGCAGGCATTTGCCAACAAGAGGCTAACATCACTCATGCTTTACAATGCAATGTCTGGAAAAGGGGACAGATCTATCTCTGGGTCTCTGGACTTGCACCCTTACCCATGGGGGAGACCGGGCCTCTGTCCTGGGATAGTGAAAGGCTGCAAGGTGACCTCACCACTGTAATAAATGTTACTACATGTAGGATCTTTTGGCATTTCTCAAACTTATTTTACCTATCTGTTTTCATTTGCTTTTCACAAATGTAGATTAAAAAAAATTTTTTTAACTCTTTTGGGGAGCTTCCTATCATGATCTTTCCAGTGTGGGGGCCTCAATATGTCCAGGAGTAAGAGAATCTTCATTTAGCCCATTATTAAATCATTCACAGTAACACAAAACATTGGCATCGGTGCCCCCAGGTGATCTTTTCAAGGTAAGAGTTGTTTTAAACAGGTACTTACGCAAGTGAAAATGATGAGTGTTAAGTAGAAAATGACCAGAGAGAAGAGCAGGACAATCTCAGCTCTGTATTTCTTTAAAGTTGTTTCTTTAGGTTCCTTAAAGCATCCTTTAAAGAGAAGTAATACATGAAACCATTCTAACAGGATTTTGCTACCATAATACAACGCTGCCTCCAGCCCGACCCACTGTCACCCACACCTTCCTTCAAATTTGTGCTTCAAGAAGGACCACAGTCATTGTCATGTTGTTCTGTCCCCAGCTGTGCATCATGGGATACACACACACTGTGTCCCTAATCCTCAGAGCAGCTGGGTCCCTACGTTATAGGGGCTGAGCAGCTGAGGCTCAGAGAGGCTGAGGACTGAGGCATGTGACAGGGACAGGCTTTCTATCCCAAAGTCAGGCCTTCTGGGCTTTTGCTTGCACCTCAGATGGGCCCCCATTTGTTCATCCCCCTTGTTACTTTAACTTCTTCTGGTTAGGTACACGGTTATGTGTCCTCGCCTCGGGAGGACTCATGAAATGAGTCAACTATGAAATGAGATGGGAACTGCCTTGCTATGGCCAAAAAAGGCAACGCATTTTGGAAGAACCTGAACTTTTCCTGGACCCTGTGGCACAGCGACCCCAGGGACTTTATGGGCTGTGGCTGCAACACTCGAGGAAGAGGGCGGCCCCGCCCAGGAACAGCCACCCAGGGGACACTATGTGCACCACGCAGCAAGTTTGGCTTGGGCTGTGGTGTGGCTGCTAAGGGAATCTGTTCATGGCCCAAGCAGCAGGTGGTGGGCAGATGACTCCAGGGAGCTCCTGGGGTTTTGAAACTGGACCCCAAACTACATGCAACAGCCCAGGGATGGCTTCTCACTGGGCTCTGTGCCTCAATTAAAGAGGCTGACAGCCACTGCTAGGAGGAAGCCTCACATAGAGCACTCAGTATATTCCTAGTTCTGCCCTTAGCACTTTAATACCGGCTTATTTAACCTTAAGGAGGAGCCAGGTGGGAGACATTTTTGTCCCTATTTAGAGATGATACAGCGAAGGAGGCTTAGAGTAGCTCAGTGCTGTGCCCAAGGCCACAGGCTGATGAGCAGCAGACTCAACACATGATCCAGACCTAAGCGATCCTGGTCTGCCTAGCAGAGGAAAGGGGAGAAAATCAGCTCTGCTCCCCACAGGGCTCGCTGCCCCTCTCCCTGCAAGGTGGCTCTCATTTCCCTTCCAGGTGAGGGATGTTCACTGAGGGCCTACTGTGTGCCAGGGCAAGCGGAAAACAAAACAATTCTGCCTTTCTTAGGAGAGGTGGACGGTAAACAAATCCGTGTAGGGTATGTCCGGTGTAAAAATGTCATGAAGACGCACAGAGAAAGGGTGCAGGGCTGGAGATGGGAGGGGACAGTAGGGAGGTGTGTGTGTGTGAGTCAGTGTGTGACATGGTGATTGAGTTCTTTGTGAGCTGCAGAATATTATCTTACCCTGAGTGCTCTCGGATAACTGATATCAAGAGAAAGTAGCTATTGTGCAAAACCAGGGGCTCTAGGACAACATCTTTGTCATTGCTGGCTTTAGCCCTTAACAAATGTTGGGCAAAAGTCAACGCATAGTCCAGACCGCATAAAGAAAAAGCTATGACATTCTTGTAATGGAATTCAGCTGTCAGCACAGATGTGCTCCAAAGCTGCAGAGTTAGGCTCCAGAGAATATCAGTTTCAGGACCTACAAAAAGTACACGTGCATTTTTCAGGAAGAAAACAAATACAGCAGGTCACCTTACCTGTCACTTTCAGAGTCACCACGCCGCTGATGTTCCTCTGTCCTCCCAGCTCCTGCAGGGTGCATCTGTATTTCCCCGAGCTGCAGCTGGTAATGTTTTGGATCTTCAGAGAATAGGGCTTTTCTTCAGGGGCCTTGAAAGTGCCATTTTGCCCCCTGCGATGATAGCTCTGTCCACTGAGGTGCACATCATCCTGAGGCGACTCCAGTGTCTCCTCGCCACCTTCTGTGAGCTATGAAGAAGCAATCGGTGCACTGTGTTAATTACAAGGCTTTGCATATCGTTTTTTTAAAAAACCCTTCCAAAATTCATGTTTCTAAAACAGGAAGTTGTTGTTTGGTTTAGTTTGTATGTATGAACTCTGTATTTTCTATGGAATAAGATCAGGGCTGCATTTTATGATTCTAGCCCAGTATCCTAACCTCCAACCCATAGAAGCGAGAGAGTGACAGGTTCTTAATTTTGGAACCTAGCTTTTTATCTGGAAAAACTCTAAATCTGTTAAGATCATTGCCAGACAGCTCAACTGCAAACAGAAATACAGCTGAGCAAGGCCTCGTATGAACTGTCACCTTTTTCCTTGAAGGCTGTGTGTGTATGGCCATTCCCCACATCGAGGGATGTGCCACACTTTTCCTTCTGCTAAGGCAGGAAGATAGCTGAGTTATGTAGCAGTGTCTCTGGTCAGATCACCAGGTGATCATAGCCAACAACACGTAGGAAGGCACGGTTACATCTCCATACCCAGGTAGACAAACTATCTTTGGGACTCAAGTGGTGGAGTCTCCTACTTCATCCTACACCATCTCCTACTTCAAAGATGCGGCACGCACCCTATTCACCATCAATTGTGTCTTTGGTGGCACCTGGCAATGCCCATGTTTGGGGAGCAGTCTGCAGCTCTGATATGACTTTTAGAAGGGATTCAGGGTGGAGGAACAGACAATCAAGGCATTCAGGGAACATCCTCTGCAAGAAAATGCACACATGCAGGTGTGAGTGAGCAAGACATGCATGCACACAACACACATGAGAGTTGTTTCTGCTTCACATATTAGGTTAGGGACCGCACCACAGGGTCACACAAAGCTGAGTCCCACTGCCTTCCCTGTGCTCTCAGGCTGGTAAAGTGGGCTGCAGAGACACCTGGTGGCAGATTTATCGCTCACTCTGCAGTGATTGAAAAGAAAAGCTGAGTCTCTGGACATAAATCCCATTTACTGAGGTCCCTGCTTGGGCTTAAAATGTTTTCCCAAAGAGTCCAGAATCTACAGAAGAAGCTAAAACGCTGGGGCCTCCAGTAGTCAACATAAAGCAGAAAAGGTTAAGTGGCTAAGGAACATTCTAGGAAGCAAAAGGCATCCAAATGATTCCAGAACACATTGAATTTAGCAAGTTTTTTTTTCCTTTCTAAGTCTAAGGAAACCAGAGACTGTGGGCTCTGCTTGCTCTCACCTCCACTGGCCAGCCTGGGTGCTTCCTCCTACCAGGCAGAGTCCTGGCTGACCATACAGAATGCCATTCAGTGCTAGATTTGCTCCTTAATCAGTGTGAGCTGATTAAGCCACTCCAGGCTCTGCACTCCCCACTTCTCCCTTCTAGATTTATCTCCAGATGCAAATGACTCCAACAACCATCTGGAGAGATCAACCTCTAGTTTTCTCCCAGAGGGAGCTTCTCCCATCCAGGCCCCTGGAAAGGCAGGATCAAAACTTCCAAAGTCCCCTGGAGGCACTAGTAGTACATAAAGATGGCTCCATTACCCAGCTAGCACAGGCAGCGAGGTGCTGGTGATCAGAGACAGTGAGCAACAGCTTTCTACCTGTTTGTGGAGGTTCGGACTTCCATTGGCCTTTGACAAAAATTCCAGCCTCTGGTTATTTTTAAATGGCAACATAAAGGCAAGGCAAGATATTAAGGACAGAAAGGAGAACTGAAGGGAATTGTAAAGAAAATGCCAAAGCAACCTCCTGCAGAATTCTGAATTGCTGAATCAGTGCAGCCATTTGCGGGATCAGGACAAAACAACTCAGCTCTCCTAGGGTCATCTTCCAAAGACCCTCTCTCCTGAGTGAAACAGAGAACTAGTAAACTATCTGGGGAACTCCAGCCACCCTAATGAACAGCACTCTTTGTCTTGTAACTTGACCACGGTAGCATCCCCTCCTATTGAAGGAGGGTATATTCCAAGACCCCCACGGTTGCCTGGAGCCTCGGATAATACTAAGCCCTATATACAATTTTCCTATATATAATACAAACAGTGATGAAGCTTAATTTACAAATCAGGTCCTCACTGTTTTCATGACTTCCTCCTGCAAATGTATGCCTTTTCCATCTTGAGACTGAGGTACAAAGTAAAAGTCATACAAGATATATTTTTCTCTTTCAAAATTTCAGGGATAGGAGATCGGTTCTAATCACAAATTTCCAGAAATTTCAGCATAAGATTTTGTTTCTTTCCTTGTTAACTGGAGAATTTTTACATTTTTACTTATGGCTTCTCTTTGACTTATGTGAATCACCAGCATTCCTATTCTAGCACTTTGGGGTCATTTTACCAAATAAAATATGGGTTACTTGAATAAATGCCTGATATCACCATAGTGGATCTGATAATGAAAACAGTCACTAAGTGATTAACAGGTGGGTAGCATATACAACATGGATATGAGGAACAAAGGTGGAAAACATGAGATTTCATCTTGTTATTCAAAACAGGAAATAATTTTAAACTCATGAATTGCTTATTTATGGAATTTTCCATTTAATATTTTCAGATCATGATTGATCATGGATAACTGAAACAAAAGAGATCAAAACCCTGATGTCTTGGTTACTTTTCTCTTGTTGCTGGGACAAAACACCGAACACCCCAAATTAAGCAAGGAAAGGTTTATTTCGCTCAGTTTGTGGAAGTTTCAGTCTGTAACCAGCCCAGGGGCCCTACTTCAAGGCAGCAGAAAGCAGCAAAAGGGGGTGAGCAAGCCTCATTTCTTCCCTTATATTGTAAGCAGACTACCACCTCCTAGGGCAGGTATAGCACTCACCTCATTTCCCTGCCATCCTCTTGTATAGGATGAGGATGTTTACAAAGTGAGGACTCTGGCACCCTGCTGAATCACTTCACTGAACTTGTAAACTTCTCAAGTGATGTCTCAGAGACATACAATGTGCCTGAGAATATTTCATAGCCTTCCCTCCAGTTACAAGTTCTAGGTATGAACACGATGTGCATTTACCTTTCATTTGGGCATTTTAAGTTACACTTTCCCATGTCACTCTACCTGAGAAATATGCAATGTGTCCGTGTTTATAAAACAGTAGCGGTTTTTTGTTGATGTTTGTGCTCAAAAATGGGGTCAGGGTACTAACATGGCCAGTGAACTTTTTATGCAAAACTCCAAATCACTTTCAACATATGCACCAAGGATACCTCACCCCGTCCATCAGTCCATCAGATGAGTTACATGTAGCAGATTTAGCAGGAGGACTGAAGGAGAAATTTTAGCAAAAAATAACAGCGAATGGGCCATCTTCAACTTCACTGTTTCATGGGCACTCACTCCAAATCAACCACTGGCAAGAAAGCCTCTTTAAATATTCCAAATCTAAAAGGGTTTTATTGCTTCTCTGCAAAAGCATTTAGGAAATAGTAATTTATAACAAAAGGAACCCTCAGAATCATTCACAGCCAAGCATAATTGAAGAAATTATTTAATGCACACTTCACAATGCTAATATTGTTGCCCAGCCTTTGAATGCACAACACAATTTGGGCAAATTAATTCCTCAAAACACTCATCCCAATACTATTTTAAAAATCCACACTCTGTGCATTAACTTTCATGAGCTGGCAACTTTGCTTTTTGAAGGAATTAGAAAAGAGCAAAATATCTCATTTTCAGAAAGCCTCTGGATTTTGACTTGTGTCAAGGCCTCCAATTTAACTAAATAACTGAAATACCATATTCTTTCTCCGAATTAGAGATTTGACCTGAAGGAAACCAACAGCCCTAAATTAAAATAAACTGTCTCCAATTTGCTGATTTTTACAACAAGCAAACACAAGGACTATACTAATTTTAAAGGAAATGGGAAGTAAGCAGATTAGGTTGTTGCTGTCAATGATGAACTTACTTGAACTAGAAAATAAAGTAAGTAAATATATAGACAGACCTGGAACTGAACCAACATTCCATCAAAAACTCTAATGCAGCAAGTGCTTTTAAAGTTTACATAATTTTATTCAACTATGTGCCAATCTCTTAATTACTGTATTTATGTATAAGACAACCATTCCATTCCCACAGTAAAGAAAAGGTTTTGATCACAAACTTTATCATATATACATCTGATCTGTTTAAAAATATGATAGATGCTTAACTGAAAGAAAAGGAGATTTCTTTTGACAGGGAAAAATGTATGCATATACATATGCCTATAAATATTTCATCTAAAAATTTGATAAAAATATATTTAAAAGGAGAGGCTATAAGTATTCTGAGGTGGCATTAAATTAATTTGATGTATTCCAATCACATTGGAACAGCTTTATTTTTATTGCATCTCTTGTGCACTAACATTCATGTACCTTAGTTTCTAACTCAATTAAAGTGCCGATATAATCCCCATTCATCATAAAAACAGCTCTTTATAACGTGCAAAATAGTTTGGCTCGGAGGTTGATGTCATAATGAGGATAGAATGTATGAGCATTAACATCGTTTTTTTCTAAGTGTAGTTTTATTAGAAAAATGATTTTCCACTTTGAAATTTACTGAGTCTGAAAGACAGAGCTGGATTTATGGCTGTTAACAAGAATTATGAGTAGAGCGGAGGCAGCATAATGAGGAGCTCAGGCTTTGGAGTTGGCCAGCGCTGAAACGAAACCCCAGCCCTACCAAGGCTCTTTCTGCTCTTGGCCAGCTGGCTGCACAGCTCAGACCGGCTTTCCCCGCAGGGATCTGGGAGGACTGTGTCTTCTGACTTGGTGGAAATGTATTTTCAATGATGTATGCATACCCTAAACATGATACCAATCCCATGGAAAGTCCTATAAACATTACAATTCTTTTTCTAAAATAGCCAAGGTTCTATTCAGTACGTTAAACAGTCCCTTGCCCATAGGAAGTATGCAAAACTGTATTCTAGTGAATGAGTAGATTTTAGAAATAATGGAAAAACTACAAGAACATCATCTTTGGAATCAAAAAACTAAAGTCAAGTCCC